TGATTTAATATATTGTTTGATTTTGCTAATCTTGGCTTTTTCGCTTAAATTGCTTGAACTTCTTTGGAACTCCTCATTATTCACACATCGCTGTGAGTCTTAAAGTCAAATGAGTTTGTGTCAAAAGTCAGAGTTATTTATAGTAATAGATTAAAAGCGATTTTTTTTAGTTTTTTCTTTATTGATGTTCTTGGCTGTGTTTTGTTTATCAGCAATACTTTATATTGTTTTTCGATATGTTTGACAAGTGGAAATCAAATTTTTGTCGGTTATTTTAAGATGAAAAAAAAGGCGGGAAGCTAAGCCGAAAAATTTGTCGTTAGAATTTACTTTACCCTACATTTAATCGATTATTGGTGACATATTAAGATTTGTTCAGTTGAAATTCATGGAGAATTCTTTTTTTTGTATTTTTTATATATTTGAGTTTTACTAGGAAGTGATTTTAATAATTATTCTATTTTGGCAGTTTAACTAAGCCTAAATTTACCCGATAATATAATTTTACTTGGTAAGATGAGATACTTTGTTTTTATCTTGCAACTTCTGCAATTTTCAGATATTAAATTATCCAGTTAAGGAATAGAATCATAACTTCCATCATGCCATCAAATCTGAATAGTTCCCCTAAAGCAATGAAAATAGCACATTGCGGAAAACGACTTATTCTAATATTTTAACATTTCCTTGTCCAGATAGGGATAACTCTGGTTGAAGAATTGAATTGTTTGGGATAATCAGATTACATTAACGTATGATATTTCCACGATATTTCAAACATTTCAGAGTGATCGTTCTGATCGCCTCCAGCCGCCATCTTCATCGAAATCACATGTAACTGGAGCCGGACAAACACCATCAAGTTCTGTTGCACCTTCAGTAGCACGGCCAGTAGTGCAGGATGATCGTGACGGGCATCTTATTTATCAGGATGGTGATATTATTCAAGGAAGATGTATGTTATTGATGCTGAAAATAATAAGCTTACAAAATTTTATTAAGTTTGTTAACCTATCGAAGGATGGACAAAATTTTTTTAGTCTTCATTAAGACCAACGCATTAAGAAATAAATCACTAAATTTCTGGTTTTGGGGAACATTTGATGATAATTATGTAACCTATTAGAGTCCCAACTTAGTCTTCATTTCTCTATCATTTGATCTTTTATTCGCATCATTTTCCATTTTGAACTGACACGTCTGCATCCCTCTATTTACCCATTTATTTCGACCCTTAAACGATTTTTTTTTCATTCACTTAGGAGTTTATTTAATATTTCTTTCTTCCAATACATCGAAACAATCTTCCAATAAAATTGTTTCTTCCAATATTTTCCTTATTTATTTAGATGAAATAGTACGCACATTAGGCGAAGGAACATTCGGTAAGGTGGTGCAGGTTAAGGATAGTACTAAAGATGGTCGACAGTTTGCATTAAAAGTTATCAAAAATGTAAGCAAATATCGGGAAGCTGCACGCCTTGAGATTAACGTGCTAAACAAATTGCAGGAGAAAGATCCGAATGGAAAATTGTAAGTAATAATTTTGTATATAT